TGATCTCACACAATAATATATGTCCAGAACTGAAACTGAATAAAAAAAGAAATTGTGCCTGTGTTACCTTGGGGTTTCTCAAATTACTCAGCATACTAGTTACCCGGGGGATGTTTACTGAACAGGCCAGACAATGGGTCAGTCGACTGAGAATAATGGCAAATAGGGAAAGGGGAACAGAATTCTGCTCCTATTTCTATAAATACCTGGAACTTGGTGTAAAATCGGTGGCCCTTTCTGGGGCTGAGTTTTCTTTCTCTGTGAATCAGGTTCCCGGGGAGTTCGTTCAGAGCACCACGCTCAGCACTGTAGCTCTGTCACTCTGGGTAACACTCCTCCCTAGCCATACCGCCTCTCACTGGATAGCAATCTTGGGAGCTGGATGTCTGCTCTCACTACATCCACCACCCAGTATAAAACTATGACTTTCCCTTTACATTTAGCAGACCTGATATCAGAAAGTAATTAAATTATGACCTTTTGATAGTCAAATGGCTTAACTAGTCACTTTTTAAACAGTAGCCTCTGCAGGGGTAAAACATGCACACGAGGAAGTAAACACAAGGTGCATTGATTTCACGTTTGTACAAATCTTGGACTGCATGCTTATTCATTCAACAAACACTAATGGAATCCTACTCTATGTCAGGCTCTCTGTGCTGGGGAGAAAAAGGCGGTACAACCTAGTCCTTACCTGTGTGAAGGCATGTGATTCCCATGCTCTGTATGAAGTTTTATAATAGAGGCATGCCCATCCTCTGCAGGAAAGGAAAGGGCATGTAAATAACACCTAGAAATAAGACGCAATGGATTAAGCCTTCTACCAAGGGCACAGATGCTGGAGGAAAGCTCCGAATAGAGAACGAGTATCTGAGAGTAGAAAGAAATGATACATGTGTGTGAAAGTGGGCACCAATGAAAAGGGACCTACCGATTCTAAAAAGAAATGTGATGCAGAGAATGAAAAGGGCTAGCCTTAGGACAGGCCACAGAAGACACCAAACAGCATCCTTTCCCATAACCAGCAGATGCCAAAAGCATCCGATCCTCTCAATGGTGAAGACAAATGGTAGCTTTGACATTTCCAAGTGTCTATAGAGGAAAGAGTGCTTTAGCTGAGAACTACTGCTGCTCCAAAGAACAAGTAGGAAGTAAAAATTACCAGCCTACTGCACTCACCAAAGCATTAGAAATTTAAATTAGTGACAAATGATAAATGCATTTTCCAGAAATGTGAAGACACTTGCATATCTGAACATTTAGAAATATTATAACCCAAATAGAGAAGAGAAGAAAATGTGTATGTCTTTTCAGCAGGTTTAGATGCATAATTCTGCATATTAATAACCCACAGGATCCAGTGGCAGGCAGGTCTTCCCTTGTTTTCTCATTTAATCTATGCTTTGCAAGAAGCTAACCATTTGTTCATATTTTTTTTCTGAATAAGTAGTATCAATGCAATTGTATTCTTCATAAGGTTTCTCCATAGGAGCCCATGAGGTACCTGGGAGAGTAAAGACTCTTGCTTTATGACCAGGTTTTGGTCATTGGGGTCCATATAAAGGTGAAAGGAGAGAACCAGTTCCAGGGGTACTCTTACCTCCACATGCCTGTTTCAGTGTGAATTCACTCATACCTAGCCATACCCACCCACTCCCTGACACTCGGCCACACCCACACATTCACATACTCACCAACACCCAACTCCTAAACAAACTACCACACACACACACATCCTCCCTCTCACACTCAAACCCACACACTCTCACATTCACTGACACACATACATACATTCTTTCTCTCTCTCTCTCTCTCGCTCTCATACACAGACACACATGCACACACTGAATAAAAGAGCTTATTTTTCGAAAGACCATTTCTGCACAAATTTATAGATCTTCAGAGCAAAAAGTAAAGAATAAGTTGTCTGACAAAGCCATTCACAAATGCTTAGTCTCACTTGAGGCTACACTCTAGATTTGTTAAAAACCAATCTAAAACAAGAAAATAAATACCCACTAGAATGCTGTTTTATACTTTTAAAGCAATTTAAATGACTTAAATTACATGCTTAATTCTATGGCTATCACATTCCACACAATGTTCTTTGAAACCTACAAACCTTTTATTGAGACCAGCCACTCATATGCAATGTCTTTAAGCTGTCCTGGACTCCCAAATCCCTTTTCTCACTCTTAAGTATTGTGGACCAAGGATCCTGATTAGTATATAAATGGTGTGGAGGCGGTGGAATCCTGATGTTTAAAGCCAGATTGTCCTAGGCCATCCTTTGTCCAACTTAATAGACATCTATTACCCTCCTCTGTATGTGATCCAACATCTTTGCAATCACTGGGTACCTAAAAGCAGACTTGGGAATCTAAAAACAGACCCCTAGATCCCACCAGCCAAAAGATTAAGTATGTCGTCAGATAGCACCCGAGGCCTATAGCAAAGATTTCCTCAGATTTTTTTTTTTACCTTCTTACTTGATATTTCCACCAAAGCATTAAAAAGTGTCTTGATTTATGCTTTCCTTTTTCTGTAATTATAAGATGTCATGGCACTGTTAGCATATTAGCTAACATGGTTAAGCTAAGTCAGTCTTTCCAGGTCTGGGCCATGGCCACTCACATTTGGCTCCAGAATAAATTAACCCTTCCTTTCTTTGAGGTGAGAGATGTGCATTCACATCAACACTGCGAGTATGGACAAGGTCAACATCATCACCTGGTCAGCAGCTGAGGCAGCAGCATGCATGACTCAGCCAGCGTTACCATCGCTACCAAAGAATCACTTCAGGGAGTAAAACAAAGGATGCCAAGATGAATGACCCTCGGGATAGAGTGGTCTTTGCAAGAAAGGTGCTTCCTTCCATCTCCCTATCCTCAGTTCTGGCTCCTGGTAAGCTGCAAAGCAGACCTGTGATGCCACTGTCCAGTTTCTTCAGTGCAACCCTGCCTTGCGATGCCACTCTCTAGTCTTGTTGGAGTGACCCTCCCCTGTGATGCCATTGTCCAGTCTCCTCAGCACAGCTGTATTCCTACACAGTTTCTGCAAAGCTGCCACAGTGATATGCAGCCAGCGGAAACACTTCGCTAAATATTTTGGTGTTCATGGAACAACTTGATTCAACTACAGAGGAAAGAGAGCTGAGGTGTATAGTCTAATCTTCTTTGTCAGCCTAATAACTGACATAAAAGAGTAATAGAATTATTATATCTACCATTAGCTACTAGTTGGGCTAGATGTGTGATATGTTCCTATGACAATTAAATTGATGATTGTGACAGTCTTCAGCAAGAGGACAACATATAGGTCACTGCCTGTCAGGACAGGGAAAGGTCACAACAAGCAACATCTTACTTGCACAGTCTGTGTTGTCATCCTTTCTCTTTTAACTTGGACATCTCTGATATTGAATCCATACTGGAGTACTACTGCCAGCCACACCGAAAATTAGATATTAGCCAAAGGAAGTTAATGAATGAACGAATGTAGTAGCAGCTTTGCCCTTGTGGATTTTTAACTTCCCAGAAGTGCCTTCCCTGGGCGAAGACTATCTCAGATGGCCACAGATTCTCTAGTTCCTGAGCCACTCTGGCTACCTACCTGAAATCTTCCAGTTACAGCATGTCCAAGAAGGCATAACGGAGGGGACTCACAATTTGATCTGCAAGAGTACTGAGCAATCCTCACCAAACCCATTACCTCAGCCCAGGGCACTTGCACTCGGATTATTTATTTATTTATTTACTCTATTTACCTCTTTATTTACATATATATGACGATGAACGGTGTTTTGGGCAGCAGAGGGTGAGCTTTCACAAGATCAATGTTCACAGCACAACTACAATATGTTCCTACTTACTATCCTTGTTAAGAACAACAACAGATCAACAATGATGCCTGAATTTATGAAACGATAATCCATGTTAGATTGAATGGGGGTGGAGCCAGAAAAGACAATGGGGAGTGACACATGTGATCCTCCAGGGCTAGAGCTCCTGGTCAGTGTTCAGAGTGGGAAGCCCTCTCTGGCCCCCTTCAGCTTCTTAGGTCAGCAGGAAGTAAGCTGAATGTGAGCACAGTGCATAGTTATCCACTGAGCCTAAGCTATGCTACCCTCTGTGCTAGGTGTTTTCAATGCATCATCTCATACAGGTCTCAAAGCAACTCTGGTGGCAGTTTCAGGAGCTAGCATTATCCTAAATTGTACAGATGATTCCAGTCTCAAAGAGATTAAGTACTTGCTCCAGGTTACACAATTAGAGGCAGAGCTGAGAGTAAAACCCACATCTCATTGTTTTCAGTGCATTAAACCCAACTTAAGAATGCGTGAGCACATCAATTTGTAAGATCTGAGCACACATTTCCATCTTTACCTCTAATCAATGAGCTCCTTCAGGGAAGAATTTATTGCTCATTAATTTTACATCTCCAGGGCATAGAATAATGCCTAATACAGAACAGGAACTCAATGACTGTCAAGTAAATAAGATGATGGATTTAAAAAATTAAAAAGAAAGGAATTAATTTGAAAAAAGAAAAAGAAAAATTAAACTCAGAGCAAAAGCTCGTTTGATACGAGGATGCTCTCCCCAGGTAAAAGCTTTGTGTCCCCTATTTCTATTTTAGCAACATATGACTATTTTATAAGAAGCACTATTTTTTTTTTTGCTACAAAAATAAACGAAATGCATTCAAAAATGTACTTTACTCCAAGACTTAAATGAATGATTGAAATTCTATAATCAGAACATGGCACAACCAACCCCGGCATATAATCATATGCTGCCTATAATAAGCTATTTGAAGCATTCTAATGGGTTGCAATTTTGTAATCTAGGCACAAGGAGAAGATGCGCTCTTGACAGTATTTAACACAAGTGCTTCAACTGGCTTTGGATGAAAAAAAAAAAACAAAAAAAAAAACGTCTTTTGCATTTTATGGATGTTCTCTGTTTCCTTATCAGTAAATAGACAGTCTTAACTTGTACCTTCACATCCTCTGCCATCTTCCTCCAGCTTTTGGCCAGCTTGACATCTGCAGTAATAACTGCCAATCGTATTACAGCATCGGACTTGACAGCCACCATTGTCAACAGCACATTCGTTTATATCTGCAATTGGACAGTTAAATAGAATCAGCCTCTTCAAACTAAACACACGGAAAGTAACTTGAATACGTCTCCTAAAACTAATCTAAAACTTGGACATCCCTCCCTCTTCAGAGTTAAAGGAGGAAAATGAAAGAGCATCTGTTTGGATTGTATTTATTCTGTGTCTGTGCGTATGTACATATGTGTACGAGTATGTGTGTGACTACAGGCATGCACATGCCGCAGCATGCGGATGGAGTTCACAGGACAACCTCAGGTGTCCTCACCTTCAGCCCTACTTGAGACGGGTTCTTTTTGTTGGATGCTATGACAGTTGCCATGCGACACTGTGAAATCTCCCTTTCTCTCGTGTCTTTGCACAGAAGCACCAGGGTTACAGATGTGTACTGCTGTGCCAGCTTGTGCATGGCGTTCCGTCCCACGTTCTCAAGCTGAGGCAGCAAATGCTCGATCCTGTGAGCCCCAGCCCCAGCCCAGCACCTCATTTCAGTCAGAGCTAATGCTCTCCAGAGAATCTGAGATATCTGAAGTGCTCCTTTTGGATAAGTTAAATGAGGAGCTTTTAGTGAGGTAGATTCCTGGAGTTCAAAAGACAGATATAGAAATGTCATGTCAGTCAGAGTTTCAGAACACTGAGAGAAATTATGGTAGTTTTCTGTAGTATCCAGCATGACTGGGGGCTAAAAAGAGCTACGGTTTGGTTGTGCTTACTTCCAAACACATGGCTAAAAGTCATTTTTAGTTATAAAACTCAATTATATGCATTCCTCCTACCCAACTAACACCTGAGATGAATTCAAGCCCATTTTCACACTTGATAGTGACCTGTCAGGTAACACCAGTGCAGTTCTGTCAAATTCAGCGTGTTTAGCACATGCAGAGTTCTCATCTTGACAGATTCGGTGAATGTGGATGGGAGACAGTGGTGGGGAAGGAAAAGCATAAGGGAGCAGAGCAAATAAGAATGAGAGACAGTGGGAAGAGAGAGGAGACAATGGGGACGGACCAGTGAGGAACAGCAGAACCCAAGTTGGAGGAGCTGGGTACCCGACCTGAATAACTATGAGAGCAGGAAGTAACCCCCGCCACAGGGTGTAACAGGCAGAGTGAGCTACTCTTGACTAGACTTTACCAACAGTATCGTGAAGACACTACCTTTGAAATTGCCTTATCCTTGTTTTTAAACTACTCAATGAATTGTGTCATGTTTACAGAGAAGTACCCAGTTCTTAACTATATATTTTGATTTTGCAAAAAATAAATTATGCAAGTGTAGTTGTTTTTTTTTGTTGTTGTTGTTTTTTTTTTTTTTTTTTCAATTGTAGGATATCCAGACTGAAGGCTTGCATGTGCTAGGCAATGCTCTGCTGCTGAGACAGTCCCTAGACAAGCATCACACTCTTCCTGTGAGGATCAACTCTGACCGTTGTTCAAGAAGCTCTCTGTACAGCTGAACGTCGCAGCTGTTTTCTTTGTGAGGGACTAGTGGTCAGCTTTGCTTTTTCGTAGTGTGTACAGACAAATCTGTACCGTGAATCTCTGCGTTTATGTCTGCCTTTGTTTATTAACCATCCCGTTTCTGAGACACATCTGCAGTTCACTGTGTCTTACTCCCAAATAACATTGCCTTCTCTGGATCTGTCTGAATGTGTATTTATCCGTTTCACAGATGAAGCACAGTTGGTCATGTTTTCCTGGTTTCCATGACTGTGAGAATCAATGACATGGCTATTCTCCTATAAGCAAGACTTCAACAATGTACTACATTTGTACTTCCACTGGATAATGTATCTCAGCTGGAATCATAGGATCAGAGAGTCTGCCATGCTCTACTTTAGTATTTATAGCCAAACATTTTCCCAAAGACATTATTCTAATTTATACTCCCACCAGCTGTGTGTTGGGGACCAGATGCTACTAATTCTTTCCAGTATTTGGTATGTCCTTTTTCTGTTTCAGGTCTTCTGGGAATTTTATAATAGAATCATGTTGTGACTTAATTTGCATTTTCCTAGTTATTAATTAGGCTAAGAATATTTTCGTGTTATTGGCCATTTGGGTGACATTTGTTGAAAAGTTTGTTCAAATAGTTTGCCAATTTAGTTAACTCTTAAAATATTGGTTATTTCATTTATTGGTGTTAAATTAAAATCTCAGACAAAAGAGATGTTCACAATCAATTCTATCTCCCTTCGAGGTGTGAAAGGATAGTTTTTAGCATGTATGTCATAGAAGTGGAAATGAATCTACATTTTATGTTATCTATGGAGAGATCAGATTAAGGATGTTCTGATTTCATACATATTTGAACCATAAACAAGTGTTAAGTCTTATCACTATTGAATCTATATTGAAATTACTTGGTTTTCCTATTAATTCTTAATTAATTCTTATTAGTTAAGGTGATGAATGACATTTTCTGAGTTTTACATTTATAAAATAAATATTACTAGTTTATTATGACTTTTTAATATATTTCTGGATTCAAGGAAGATTTAGCGGTTTTAAGATTTAATGATTTTAGTGGTTATACTTATGCTATGACATTTTTTTTTTCTTTTCTAGCACTACCCCCAGATTTTTACAACCACGTTTTATGGGAACAAAAGCAAGTTAGAACTATTTTTTCTACCTTCTGAATACAATTTGGTCTTATTTCTTATTTAAATAATTGAGTTTGTTTATTGTGCCACCTGCAGCATGTGGCTGTTTGCATGCTTCTATGTAGGTACTACATTGTGTGTACAATGACTTGTGAGCTTAGCTTATTTATTACATATGAAAATATTCAATTATATAGGAAAATACATTGGGGTAACTTGTATGGTTCTAGGAACTTTTTGTATTTCACGTCAATGACTGCATATTCTGCTGTTAAGCTTTTCTCAACATTTTTATACCAGCTTTTAGATACCCAACTTGTTCAATCTATGCTTAAGCCTCCATTCTTGTTCTTGGAATTCATTCTGAAGAAGGAATACTGCAATAATGTGTTTTCATTAGGTTATAACTTTTCTTCTTTAATTTTACTAGGATTGTTTCAATTTCCCTTATATCTTTCTGTTGTTTATCATCTGTTTATAATTTATCTATTACCTATCTCTCTATCTTCTATCATCTTCTATTTATTTATCTAATTATGTATTTATATATCTATAAATCTAAGTATTATTTATGTATGTATGTATCTAGCATCTATCTTTTTCTCTACCTCTTTCTTAGTCATTGTCCTATTGCTGTTAATAGACACCAGGGCGAAGCACACAACTTTTACAAAGAAAGCGTTTAATTGGGGACTTGGTTACAGAGGGTTAGCCCTTTGTCATCATAGAGGGAAGCATAATAGCACTCCTGTTGCTGGAGCAATAGCTGAGAACTACATCATCATCCACATCAGCACACTGGGCCTGGTGTGGGAGGTGAGGTCTAAGAGCTCACTTCCAGTGACAAAAAGACCACACCTTCTAACCCTTCCCTGACAGTTCATCATCTGGAGACTGTGAGCCTATCTCATTCAGACAACCACAGCATCTGTTCAACATCTCTTTCTTAGCTATTTGGCATTTATCTTGTTTTCCAAAAAAAAGCTCTAAGTACTATTTGTTTTTTTCATCATTGATCATTCGTCTTCTTTCTTTTTTCTTTTTTTTAATTTTATTTTTCTTTATTAATTATACTTTACTCACTTTGTATCCCCCCTGTGGTTCCCTCCCTCCTCCCATCCCAATCCCTCCCTTCCTCCACCCTCTGCATGCATGCCCTTCCCCAAGTTCACTGATAGGGGAGGACATCTTTTCCTTCCTTCTGATCCTAGTCAATTAGGTCTCATCAGAACTGGCTGCCTTGTCTTCTACTGTGGCCTGGTAATGCTGCTTCCCCCTCAGGGGGAGGTAATTAAAGAGCAGGCCAATCAGTTCATGTTAGAGACAGTCCCTGTTCCTATTACAATGGAACCCACTTGGATACTGAACTGCCATGGGCTACATCTGTGCAGGGGTCTTAGGTTATCTCCATGCATAGTCCTTGGTTGGAATATCAGTCTCAGTAAAGACCCCTGTGCTCAGATTTTTTGGTTCTGTTGCTCTCCTTATGGAGTTCCTGTCCTCTCCAGATCTTACTGTTTCCTAAGAGTCCCTGCACTCTGCCCAAAGGTTGCCCATAAGTCTCAGCATCTACATTGATAATCTGCAGGGCAGAGCTTTTCAGAGGTCCTCTGTGTCAGGCTCCTGACTTGTTCCCTCATTTCTCCTTCTTCTGATGTCCATCCTCTTTGCCTTTCTGGATAGGAATTGAGCATTTTAGCAAGAAAAAGTGAGGAATATCCTTGAACTCATTGGCATAGGAGACAACTTCCTGAACAGAACACCAACAGCACAGGCTCTAAGAGCAACAATCAATAAATGGGACCTCATGAAACTGAAAAGCTTCTAAGCAAAGGATACTGTCCTCAGAACAAAACGACAGCCTACAGATTGGGAAAAGATCTTCACCAACCCTATATCTGACAGAGGGCTATTATCCAGTATATATAAAGAACTAAAGAAGTTAAACAGCAAAAAATCAAGTAATCCAATTAAAAAATGGGGTACAGAGCTAAACAGAGAATTCTCTGCAGAGGAATATAGAATGGCAGAGAAACACTTAAAGAAATGCTCAACCTCATTAGCCATCAGGGAAATGCAAATCAAAAAGACCCTAAGATTTCACCTTACACCCATCAGAATGGCCAAGATCAAAAACTCAAGAGACAACACATGCTGGACAGGTTGTGGAGAAAGGGGAACCCTCCCCCACTGCTGGTGGGAATGCAAACTTGTACAACCACTCTGGAAATCTGTCTGGCACTTTCTCAGACAACTAGGAATAGCGCTTCCTCAAGATCCAGTCATACCACTCCTAGGCATATATCCAAAAGAGGCTCAAGTACACAATAAGGCACAATAAGGACATTTGCTCAACCATGTTTATAGCAGCCTTATTTGTAATAGCCAGAAGCTGGA